ATAATAATAATAATAAGGACAATAATATTAATAGTAATCATTATTTGATAGATGTTATTTGCCCAACCACTAAACGTTTACATATATAAACGTGTTGCCATGTCGTGGTAGCATTCTCTCGTAGCGCGATCCCTCACAGTTTATGCGGTGCAGCCAGTTGATGAAACAGGAAATGTAGTTAGTGAACTAATCGGATCTGCCTGATCTGAGCGGCATGTCCAACTGCGGGTAGAACAGGTAATAATATAACGGAAAGTGACCAGGATCAACCATGAACTTCGCCACCTTTCCTTCTGCTCTGAGTTCAGTCGAATCGATCACACACTCATTAACCCAAGAGCGTCAGCCCCGTAAGAGAGGGAACAGTTGGGAGTGACGGTTGAGAGACTGTTTTTTTCTTTTTTTTTTCTTTTTTTTTTCTTTTTTTTTTTCTTTTTTTTTAAATTTACTTTTTTATCTTTGTCTTTGTTTCCTCTTTTTTATCCCCCCCCCCCTTCCCATTTTTTTAACTTAACTGGTTTTTATGCTCCCATCGACAAGGGTTCCGCCTTTTAAATAACCTGACGGTATTAATAGGGTTGTTAAAACCATATCCATACTTTTTAGGGACACTTTTTAAAGCAGTACCCATGCTATAACTTTGCCTAGCGTAGAGACATAACGGAATTAAATGCCCGACCAAGTTCACAACGTCCTGTTGGAGCTTGGAACCAGGGCAATCCAATCGCTAGTACAGCTACAAAGTAACTCACCTTCTTGTCTTGGTCCTGTCGGAGACAAGACGATGAATTTGGATCTCTGTCCCACCTCTAAAATATGGTGGGTGGTTGGCAGGTGCCCTGGTGTGGTTTGCTTCTTCTTTCCTATCAAACATATATCGTTCTTATGTCCCCTCCTTCTTTGTTATGTTTGTTACTATCTTGTAACACCTATAATCCTCTGGCGCTCATATGACCTTGTGCAGTTGCGAGCGCCGTAAAACCTCTACTAAAATACACAATCTTAATTATGTTTATTGTAATGAAAGGGCGTAAATCCTTAACCATTAGATGGTCTATGATGTTGAGATGTCTCTTTTGCACTCCTCAGTGTGTCCTACGTGCTGGTTTTACAGGATCTGAGTGCAGAAACTACACAAGCGACGATCGCCTTCTGCAGTCACGTCCTCATAACACAGCCCTGTGACGTCATCATAACACAACCCAGTGACGTCATCATAACACAAACCAGTGACGTCATCATAACACAACCCAGTGACGTCATCATAACACAGCCCTGTGACGCATACACCACTTCTTTCACGTCACCCAAGTTTAAGTTGTTTCTTTGACAAAGTATCGGATGCGTTTACTGCTAACTTGCTTACAACAATAACTGAATTTATGACTAGTCTGCTAGTCCGCTCCAGAATATTTCACATTTCTCACAACCCAATCGGATTCATTGGAAGTGGAAGACTCGAAGTGTTCAAACTAGCTGTGAGTACTGGGAGTTAACATTCTGCTGTTGTGAGTTAAGATTCTGCTGTTGTGTGTTAAGATTCTGCTGTTGTGGGTTAAGATTCTTGGGTTGTGAATTAAGATTCTGGGATAGTGAGTTAAGATTCTGGGATAGTGAGTTAAGATTCTGGGGTTGTGAGTAAAGACTCTGGGATTGTGGGTTAAGATTCTGCTGTCTGGGGTGGTGGGTTAAGATTCTGGGGTTGTGAGTAAAGATTCTGGGATTATGGGTTAAGATTCTGCTGTCTGGGGTTGTGAGTTATGATTCTGGGATTGTGGGTTAAGATTATGGGGTTGTGGGTTAAGATTCTTGGGTTATGGGTTAAGGTTAAGATAATGGGGTTGTGGGTCAAGATTCTGCTGTCTGGGGTTGTGAGTTAAGATTCTGCTGTTGTGAGTTAAGATTCTGGGGTTGTGGGTCAAGATTCTGCTGTTGAGAGTTAAGATTCTGGGGTGGTGGGTTAAGATAATGGGGTTGTGGGTTAAGATAATGGGGTTGTGGGTTAAGATTCTGGGTTTGTGAGTTAAGATTCTGCTGTCTGGGGTGGTGGGTTAAGATTCTGGTGTTGTGGGTTAAGATTCTGGGGTTGTGGGTTAAGATTCTGGGGTTGTGGGTTAAGATTCTGGGATTGTGGGTTAAGATTCTGGGGTTGTGAGTAAAGATTCTGGGATTGTGGGTTAAGATTCTGGGGTTATGGGTTAAGATTCTGGGGTTGTCAGTTAAGATTCTGGGGTTGTCAGTAAAGATTCTGCTGTCTGGGGTGGTGGGTTACGATTCTGGGGTTGTGGGTTAAAATTCTTGGGTTGTGGGTTAAGATAATGGGGCTTAGTACACAGCTTTGGAGTAGACACCATGAATAAGGCCCATTGTTTTAGACACAATCCCAGTGAAGTGAGGTAACTGTAAAGGAAGGGAGAAGGAACTCTATCTAACCCTTTACCCTGACCTACCTAGAGCTTTCCAGACAACTATGTTTTGAAGAAAGCAAATATAATCTATTTACTCTACCAGGTCGTGTTCTGAAAACTTTTAAGGTGTCTGTAATTTTTTGTTGACGCAAAGTAATAAATCAGTATATTGAACGTTCCCATTACTGTAATATAAGAACATTTCAAGTTAAAAAGAAATCTGCATAAAATCCCCTCTCAACACAAATTCTATCTTATAATATAATTTGTTTTTTCAAGCCCATTTCCTTTCTCTTATGGGTTCCATAGTGGATAATGAGCTCTCCCCAAAGTTTATAAGCTGTTAAAATCCTCCCCCTCTGACGTTCAAGACCGCGGGTAATAAGTGGCCTTCCTCACGTCCTTGTCTGTTTCGTTCGGTGCGATAACGTAATGCGGATTTTACACTTCTAATGAATTTGTTGTCCTTATCTTAAGTATGTGATCAACGCAAAGCATTAAACCAAGCCCAATCCGGATTATGATTATAGATTTTAACTGTTAAACAAGGATTAGTGGTTTACAGTATATTGTAATGCTCACAAAAGCGCCAATTTCTGTGATAGGAACGCCCGAATTAGGTAGTTATCCGACGACAAGGTAAAACTTCGCTCGTAATAAACCGCTAACAACTCCCCGTCTTGTAGAATTCTGATAACATCTAACAGTCTTGTGATTTCACGACCTCCCAACCAGCAACCAGTAGCGTACCTGGCCGAGTCGGTTATAAATCTAGCTCTGGACGGACAGGGGTCTGGCTTTCATCTCATACCGAGACCGCTCCGCTCAGAGATTTATTACCGTTCAACCTCAGAAAGGGCAGTCATTCTTTTATAAGGGTCAGATTCTCTTGAGTGTAATACGGGGTGCCCACTACGGATGAGATCAGCCAATAGGGCCGATCGCTCGACTCGATCGCCTAAAAAACAAACGTGTTCGTTTTCAGTTTCAGGAGATCGAGTCGGACGATCTACCCGATCCAGCGTAGTGGGCACCCTGTATAATGATAACAAATTTAGCAGCGGTAATACTGTCTATTTTTCTGTTATATCATGTTTACTTTGCTTGAACAGACGCTGTGAAAATATTTTTTTTCTATTCAATGAAATAGGGCTAAGTAGCATCCACAAGTTATAATGCAGAGTTTCAATGTCATTCTTGTGATTCTATTTATAGTTTTCGAGGTGCTGACCTGGAAAGGAGAACCATTTTTGGGACAAGCCGAGGTCACAAACGGGAAATTTCTTGGCACTTATCGCACGTGATCCTATAAGTCTCTAACCCTAAGCGGAAGTGAGACCAGCCAGCAGCCCTTGACGTCACATCGTGACGTCATGTCCTCTGGCCTTGAGCGTGCTGCCTACTCGGACACCACAGTGTTGATAGAGGGTGCAAGGACTGACCTCACGCCCAACACGCTGACGTCTCTGGGCGGCGGGTCAGCCATGGACAGCTCCGCAGGGCGACGAGGGTTCGGCTACGACCCCTGGACATCCAACCACACCTCAGTGCTACTGCTCACGGACAACGGAACTTCCGCCTTCGCCAACACCTCTGGGGTCAGCTTCCTGGATTCCAACTCCAGCACCGTGACAACTGCCCCTGGCCCTTCGCTACACGACTACACTATTTTCACCGTGGCTTACTACATGAACAGGTACTACCTATGGGTCATCTTCGCCTTCGGATTCCCAGGCAATATCGTGAGTTTCATCACTGTTCTGAGGATGAAGCCGTTCACGTCACCGACGGGCTATGTGGCAGCCCTCGCGCTAGTGGACAACGCGTGTCTGGTGTTTAAGGTAGGTTCAAACAGCACAGGGGAAACTGCTGTCTTCTCAGTAAATACAATCAAGTTTTAGCAACAATTTTCCTTCCATTTTTCTTTCTTTTTTTTGGGGGGGG